CTTCAGCTGACTGTTATCTGCAGTTTGGCGGTTCAAATCTCACCGGCTCAGGGTTGAGTCAGCCTTCCATGCTTCCGCGGTGGGTTAAATCTGGACCCGGTGTGTAGTAGCGAGCAATCTGCTGACTCTGTAAACCGCTTAGAGAGGGCTGAAAACCCTATGAAGCGGTATATAAGTCTAACTGCTATTGCTATTGTCGCAGCCCAAAACTGAGCCTGGGATAGCTGTGCATGGCCCTCCCAAGCTCCCTTTTTTGCTGGCAGAGCCATCACGGGCTGAATCCGAACTCAGGCCTTGGGTTTGACACCCTTCTTCTATATTCTTTTGGGGCGCAGAAAAACAGAACTGGGACCCTTCTTTCTTTTTCTTTCTTTCTTTTTTAAAGTTACTGTCAATTTATCCCGCCATCAAATGTTTCCATCCAGTCAGTGGAATCGGATACCTTGATTGGAATGCAGGCGTGGTCTTCCTCCAGATCTTTCAGGCAGATCTCCAAGTGCAGCTCTCCAGCGCCAGCAATGATGTGTTCCCCAGATTCCTCAATAATGCACTAGGGAACAGGAAAGGCTTGTGATAGGGATCCATTCTGGTGTCAGGATAAAAGAAAATTCTGGAAGCGTTTATAAATCTGGTAGTTCACACCAGGCAACAGCACATGTTTTTGCAAATCACGTTTCAGAGGATTTCAAGGTTAGGTCATTCTAAACTGGGTATACAGAAATTATCATAAGATTACCGTAAATGGCTAGAACTGTGATGGCAAATCTATGGCACGCATGCCAGAAGTGGCGTTCAGAGCCGTCGCCCATTGCTCTTCCGGGTTCTGGCGCGCTAACCAGCACGCACGGGAGAGCTGGACGCCAGAAGAGCAGCCACCCCGGTGCGCATGCATGCACCAGGATGATGATCTTCCGGTTTCTGGTGCTTGCATACACACCGCCCACCTGCTCTTCCGGTTTCTGGTGCACATGCACATGGGAAGATCAGCTGACCGGTGCGCATGCATGTGTCACAAACCGGAACATAATATTCCCGGTGCGCACATGTTCTTCTGGTTTCTAGCACACACGTGAACGCGCTTCCGTTTTGGCACTTAATGCCGAAAAGGTTCACCAACAGTGGCCTAGATACTCCATGTGTTTCATCTTTGAATTCATACAATACAGGTATTCCTCGACTTACGACCACAACCAAACTCAAAATTTCCATTGCTAAGCAGGACAGTTGTTACGTGAATTTCACTGTGTATCTCTCCAGGCAGGTGGAATGTTTTAATTTTTCTCTATAATTGAGGGCCTTTCCTTTTTAGATTCTCTTCTAACCCTAAAACACATTTTGGATACAAAGGAAAAATCAAGCAATATGCCTTCTTCCTAACACTATAAAAACTTCCTTTTTATGACCTTGTAATCCCTTAACTTGGGGTAGAGTGGGGTGGTGGTGAATGGATATATTCAGCATTTACTGACCTGATTCCCTTCCTGACACCACGCTGAATTCGCAACAATTCTTTGGCCCCTCGGCGAGAAGCATCTGTCGCTACCTAGGATTGAACTCTTAACCATCCGAGTGGGAGGCAGATGTCTTCATCCCTAGAGCAACACACCGCTCTCCCTCTTCCTAACACTACCCCACATGAACGAAAGATAAAGCGCTATGGGGCCGTATGTAAGTCCAAATGCAACTGCTATATGCGTAAGGGCCGCCTTCCACTTAACGATTCCAATGGAGCTTGTCCATCACAGTCATAAGCATTAACTGTCGTAAAACAGGTCATCCATGGTGGCTGACCGTATTTTAATATCAGTTTTTTGCAAGCAGCTTTAAGCAAATGCTGCAATCGTTAGGTAAACCAATAGTTTGCGATGGACTGGTTTTGCTGAAAACCAGGCTGATTATTATTATTATTTTTGGCAAAACTATTATGAAATACATTCGTGTGACTGTGGGATGCTACAAATGGCTATAAATATAGCCATTTGCTGAGCCCCTGGCATGCAGTCCTTTGAAACCTGGACCACTAAGTGATTTGGTTGTAAGTCAAGGATTATCTGTACTTCCCAAGTTTATGGTTTTCTTTCCTCCTTCCTTCCTTTGCTTTCTCTTTCCTTTCTTCCATTCTCTTCCTTTCTATCTTTCATTTCTTTCCTTCTGTCCTTTCTTTCTCTCATTCCTTCCTTTTTCTTTCATTTTATTCCTTTCTTCCTTTTTTCTTTCATTCCTTCTTTCTCTCTTTCATTACTTCCTTCCTTCCATTCTTTCCCTTTCTTTCGCTTTCATTTTTCTTTCCTTTTCCTTCCCCACTCCCTCCCTTCCTTTTCCACGAATATTACTATCACTTCTAATCAATCAATCTATCTATCTATCTATCTATCTATCTATCTATCTATCTATCTATCTATCTATCTATCT